CTGTGTGCAGGCTCTGTTTGGCAGCGGGATGAGTCAGTTCGGTTCCGCCACACGGCCACCGAGGCTCTGCTGTCTGTGACGGGAGAACAGTACGGCAGACCCATCCACGGCCAGAGAGAAGTGCACGGCATGATGGTCAGCAGCTCACACAGCTACTGGAAAACAATGGAGGGCGTCTTCATGAAACCCAGTGAGATTGGATCCAGGGATTTCAGCAGGCCATTGCACACTGAGTTTTAGAGAAACGCTTCATACAAGCTGACTCTGCTGGACTCTTTACAGTTCTATTGTTATGAAAAAGAGTTTTATGATCAAATTGTGCCATATGCTTATTTTTTAAACACTTTTAAGCATATGATTTTATATTGCACAGCATACACTACTGTTCAAAAGTTAGGGGTCAGTAAGGATTATTAAGGTTTTGACAACAAATATTAAACATCACAACTGTTTTCAACACTGATGATAATAAGAAACACTATATAAGCATATTAGAATGATTTTTGAAAGATGCGTGTTACTGAAAATTCAGCTTTGCCATCACAGGATTAAATTATTTTAAAATATATTAAAATAGGAAACAGTTATTTTAAATTATTATAATATTCCACAATATTGATGCATTTACTGCAATTAGATAAATGAATGCAGCCTTTGTGAGCATAAGAGCATTCTTTCAAAACCTTCAAGAAATCTTACTGACTTTAACTTTTGAAAGGTAGTGTATAATAAGACAAACAGAAATGTCAAATTTCAATAAAAAAATCGAAAGAGAATTCTGTTTAAACAAACATTTAGATTTATGGAATGCCACTTTTAGCTTTTCAAGCTTTTTTTTTTTTTTTAAATTCCACAATCTTACAGATTTCATAATTATAAGGCAAAAGCTCATTCAGAGTTTAACTAAGTTTTAACTTGAAACACAATGCACTCACCTTTGAGAATATTTAATGGCCATTAAAATTGAAAAATCATGGCCATCTGTTTGCATCTTACAAGTAATATTAAATTAAAAAGAAGAACAACAAATCCTTAAATAATAAATTGGCCCACAACTGTTATCAAAAAAAAATTAAAACCTGGGATATGATTTAAAACCACAAATATGAATTCATTGCATTAGCGAACAAGCTGGAATTCACTTGAACTGCTTGTTGCTGATCTCAGAGTGGAAACACTACAGCATCAATGGTACTTTATGTTGCAGCAGTATTAACATTAATCTCATTGAGAGACTTGCAGTTATGTGGTGCTATGTAATGATGTTTTAGGCTATTTTTCTAAAGGAAGCTTTGAGTTACTTAAAACAAAAGCTTCTATACAGACATTACTATCGCACTTGCACACCTGAATATTACACTAGTAACACTCTGGCAAAGTCTTTTTTCCTAAGAAAATTATCAATTTTTTTGTCTCTAAATGTATAATTGTAATTACATTAAGTGCCTTTTAAATATGTATACATGTGCTATGATTACATATACTGTAGATGCTGTAAAATTTGAAATGACCTGTAAACTTTTATTTTTATTTTTTATGTTTACATGGTTGGGTTCACAGCTGTCTACCATTTGACTTGGTAATACAGTACATACACAGTACCAACTGACAAGCATTAGTACAGATTTTGAAGTATTAAACAGCCTTTAGAGTTTATTACCTCAGACAGATAGTTTGTGTAAACATGTTATTTTGTAGATGCTTTAAAGAGATTATCAGATCATTAACAGTGCTGTTTTTTTTTTTTTTATCAGAAAAACAATAGATAAAGTCATTTATTTGTCATTTGTACAGCTGTGTTCATTGGTGACTCGAACCCTGATAGTATGCAAACACAATTGTAGTCTTATTTGTAGAAAATCCAATGCTTCCCCCTACTGGCTCAGGCAACAATAATAACAAAAATGATTATTATATCAATTATTATCATCATTATATCAATAATTGGATGCAAAAGCATTTATTGTCATGTTCAATAAATAACTTTCTTTTATTTATTCATATTCGTTGTAATGATACATTTTTGTTTAGAAACCATATTGCTTTAATCTGTCAGTCCACATCCTGCATGCAAATATGTATGCTGTTTTGCATATTAATAATCCTTCTTTTGATATACTCCATAAAAATACACACATATAAAATTTTATTTGGCATGCTTCAAATTCAGATGAAGTTAGGATCTGGATTGAGAGTAAATTAGAAATTCCATCAACCTTTGCAAGATTAAAAAAAAAAAACAATAGAAAACAATATTATTAATCAACAAAATATAAAATACAATAGCAAATAAAACCTTTACCAATTTATATATCCAAAAATGCCCATAAACTAGAGGGTAATTTTTAGTAGAATGTAGAATCTAACAAGATGGCAACAAGCAAACAAACATAGAATAATGACTAAATGATGCAAGAGATTTCTAAACTTTAGTCCACTAATCTGCTTTTGTGATAAATGAAAGGAACAGTGAACAAATAGTCTTATATTATTAAATAAAATAAGGTGCAACACTTTAAATTGATATATATGGAATTTACACTGAATTCCACTACCGTTTCAAACTTCTTTTTGGTAAAGGTTACTTTGTTTCTTAATTTCTTTAAATAACATTTCTTTACTAGCGTTACTTCACATGCTAAACGTAAATTTCCTTTGTTACCTACCATTTTTACATCACATCTTCAGAATAGGCCACTAGATGGGGCCATTCTTTTGGAAATCTCCTCATTCCAAAGCACAGACTGACAGAATAAAATGCACCAGTCCTCCTCAATCAAGCCGTTCTGTGACATTCTGAAAACTGATAGGAACTTTGTCCAGTAAACGGTTCCCAATAATCCGCCTTTCCTTTGCATTGTATTTTGGCACAGAATGCTGCTGGTACTGTTTCATATCATATGCTCACAGGAAGGAAACAATGGGAGTTCAGATATTTAGACTGATGCTCTCAGCAAATGCCTGCAAGCGGTACAGACCTTGGAAAAACACTGCATTAGTGTTCTGAACATGCAAACATGACACAGTCGAACAGACAATGCAAAGACGACTTTTGTGCGGCGCTATATGCATAAATACACATGCAATATACAGGGGATTGTGACAAACGGCTGTAAGTATACACAATAATAAGGAACACAGGGAAAGGGACTGATGTGCACACACATTATAAATACATAGACAAACAGGTAGACAAATACTTATATTACACACAGACTGTAACTGTAAAAGAAAAAGTGCTATTGTAGAGACCGACCAGTTTACTTCTGGTTGTTTCAGAGCAATTTGTGTTGCAATCACTGACTCTCTGAGCCTGAGAGTGAATAAAACCTCAAAATGGACCAAAAAGTCCAAGTATGTAGCATAGACACTTCCGCAGAAGTTCAGTGTCATATATTTTAACCAGACAATATATGCAGACATTTAGAAGACCTTGATACTATGTTTAAAATCAAAGAGAGTATTATACTCTCTTCTTTCGTGTAGATAGCCTACACAAAACAAGAGATTTGGTAATGGCCCTCGCCTCATTTTAGTTAAATTGTGGCCACGTGACCTTATTAATTTGTTATCTTGTTTTTGAAATATTAGCCACGTTATATTAATTTATTCCCTCATCTGATTATCAAAAACAAGGGAATAAATTAGCAAGACGTCCACTGATGTCACATGGACTATTTTAATGATGTCCTTACTACCTTTCTGGGTCTTGAACGTGTTAGTTGCGTTGCTGTCTATGCAGGGTCGGAACGCTCTCGGATTTCATCACAAATATCTTCATTTGTGTTTCAAAGATCAATGAAGGTATTATAGGTTTAAAACGACATGAGTAATTAATGACAAAATTTTCATTTTTGGTGAACTATCCCTTTAATGCACCATTGCTGAAAAATAATAAATTTCTTTACTTCCAAAAAATCTTACTGACCCCAAAATATTAATGGTACTTCTTACTATTTTTTTTTTAAACAGTATGTGGAAAAAGTACACAGTATGCGATGATATATGTTTTAGACAGTAATATTTTATGTTGTTGTCATTTAATTTGATCACATTGCATGTTCAGTTCAGCAGCTGCTATTTAATTACCATTTTAAACGAAACTTATATATATATTTTATGTTTTTTCTCTCCTGAATCATAATTTTTCTCTCTCATCCTATCTCTCAATTATGAACACGTAAAGCACTTTAAATGATCAGTATGTGCAATATAAAATAAACTTTCCTTGGAAAAAAAATACAGTTATTTTCCTTTTTCAACCCAATAAAATACTAATTGACAGTCCAATCAAAGAAGGAGAAAAAAATCATACTCAAAACTGTGTATGATGCACTGTGTGATGCAGATTATATCCTGCATATTGTGGTAATTTGTGATTTTCTTTGCATACTGTAAAAGTAATATTATGGTAGTATGCTATTCCAAAAATACCCACAGTCCCTTCAACATTAAGCAATATATTTCAATAAATTCCATTAATAAGCTTCAACACCGCAATGCTGCGAACAAAACATACAGTGCATCTGAGATGAACATGCACACGCTCTTGATGCCAGACATCCTGCAACGGCTGCCAATCACTCTTCATCGTTCCCATCTGACATGACTTGGAGTGAGATCAAGTACAAAGTCTTCGCCTTCCAAAGACAGGAATGAGAAAACGAGCAGCACGGTGGGACACTGGATGTTATTGCATTAAATGGTATTCAGTGAGGAGCCCTTGCATGTTCCTGTCAAGCTGATGATGGAGGACATCCCTCACTGCCATTTAAGAGTCTGTCACAATCACAATCACAAGCACAAAACTCGCTCTCGGGATTCACATCCTCTGCTCGGTGGGCTCCCCACGCTCTAAAAGAAAGTGGAGTTTTTGAAGCATGTTTCTTAAGAGAGGTCAGATCAAGCAGGGTTCACAGTGGGTGGGGCTACTCCATGCCATTCCGCAACATCTGATTGGCTGCGATGAGCATGACGCTGTGTCAGATCAAGCAGGGTTCACAGTGGGCGGGGCTACTCCATGCCATTCCGCAACATCTGATTGGCTGCGATGAGCATGACGCTGATGATGAAGGCCATTGCAAAAGCACAGATGAGGCTCTTGCGGACACACGTCTGGCGATTCTTCTTTTTCGAATGCACTGATGGAGTAGAACAGAGCATTTGTGAAAGAGCTTCAATGAGAAGAGATGACAGCACACAATGAGCATAAGCCATCAAAACAATGATCCAGCATTGCTGCTGATCTCTGTGCATAATGAGGCTTTGAATATGAACAATAATGAAACAAACCGTTTGGCTCTGCTAAGCTGCCTCACTGGACTTGACACACTCATGATCACACACACACACACGCAGACAGAAATAAATATTAATGTGAAACTGTTTAAGGGCACATTGTGGGCCAATAAAGCATATATTTTAAAACATTGTGACAGACTAATTGGATTTCGAGGCATATTCACCCTTTTCTCAGGGCCAGCAGATTCAATTCCATTCAATTTGTGTTGTTATTCTGTGCTGCATATTGAAATTAAATATCGAACTGCTGAAACATAATTGCATACAAGCTTTTACGATAATTCCCGTTTCTGAATTCCATTCATTCCCTTTACTTTTGTTGGCTGATGAAAACATCTGGTTCAATAAAGCGGGTGAAATTCATAAGTAACCAATGCAGGGAGTAAAGAAAATAATACACTAGTTGCTTTCATTTATCAGATGCTTTTCATTCCAAAAATCCTATATTGCATTGAGAGCACAGAACTCTCATCTCATTAAATGCCCAGTTTCTGGGCAAACACATCAGACTATAGAGCCTAATAGTCGGGCTCCAGATGTAAAAATTTTTTTATTTTAAAGATTTTTAATGATAACATATAAACCTTTCAAGGCCTACTATGAGCACTGTGATTGTTAAGTGATGATAAATGCTTTCGCAGAAGCCAAAAGTCAATGTGATATTAGCTTCATTTAAAAAAAGCAAGCTTTTCATTGGAGGCACCAATCAGAGAAGTTGCTGTTACTAAGGCATTGCATTGCAAACATTATTGACTACACTCTTTATTTATTTATTTGTAATTAAATATTTTGTAAATACATTTAAATATATTTAATTTAATTTGTATAATTACAATAATTGTCTACAAGTCCGTTATAAACATAATACATGCTTCTGTAGAAGCCGAAAGTCAATGCAATTTCAGCTTATTTAAAAAAAAAAAGTATCCATTACATCGACCAATCAGAGAAGTCACTGTCACTTCCATAAAGCATTGTGAATGACATACTGACAACATTCTTACTACTTATTCATCTATAATTATAATCAATCAAAATTTAAATAAATATAATTAAATTTTTCAATATAATGATTGTTTTAATTTAATTCGTTTATTATATTGCATTTTTAATAAACCACTATAAGTTGAAAAGTTGATATTGCACCATGATACATGCTTCTGTAGATTTCAATAGATTTAGATGCAAAAGATTTCAGCACTGACGTTATTGACTACACTCTTAATACTTCATTATTTATAGTTATATACTTTGCAATAAAATTAAAATATATCTATTTTTATATTTTTAAATTTAAATGAAATATATGTGATATTGTACTTAATTATTATCATAAATGACAATGAGTCAATAATGTTATATATCATCATTTATGATTCAATTACATCATTTCTAATGTTTAATAGGAGGAGTACTTCATTGTCTCTTTAAATACACAGTCTTGTACCTTAATTTGAATAAAAAAGTTAGTAAGTTTTGATTTAGCCAGTTGGTTTGATTCAAGGCTTAAAACTCTTTATTGAAGAATTTTTGAAATGCCAGTGTTGAAAAATACCTCTTGGCTTCTGAAAAATTGGCCGTTCACTCCTACGCTCTGCTGATCATGTGGAAATCTTTTCATTGGTATTCATACAGAACTCAATTCTCCAGTTACTGTCAGACTCAGAACTTTAAGCTTCACCTCATCGGAGCTTCGCAAAGTTTCCAGTGTCTGTAAACTTGAATCAGCGCGAGTTCAACAAACTGTTGCAGGATCCGTCAATTAACATGAAATCGTTCTCATTGCTATTTACCTCCCTGAAATTCGGTCTGGCAGTTTCCTGAGTTCTCCTTCAAGCTCTCTTCCTCAGTGACGATAATATTCTCGATGTCCTTCATGGTGAGATGGTCTCTGAAGGTGTGGAACAGGACGTGTTTGAGCTCCTCCAGGGACATCTGTTGCATGTCAAACTGCAGAGTGGAAACACAAGAGGCCTGTTGTCAAATCTCAGCACGGCTGGGCTGTCAGTGCTTCTCTGTGGGGCAGTGCTCAAATCCTACAGTCATTTATTATGGGAGAATTTCCTCCGACAGAAATTTTAGAGAAGCGAAGCTGAGCCAGTCACTACGTTAATCAAGGGTTTACTTGCTCAGTCACACTCATTCTCGCTCAGGCAGTGGTGAACAATGAATAGAAGCACAGCACACAAATTGAGCAACGCACTGGACATTCTTTCTGATGCAAAATGAGATGTGAATCAACATGGATGTTGACGTGTCCAATAGTTCCTCACATCTTTACTGTTCTGCAACCAAAAGCATTCTTAACTGAAACACACTCATCTAAGAGACTCTCCTCATTGAACTGCAATGTCTGTTGTGACAGCACTGCGACCTGAAGCTGGGTGAAAGCTGAATAAAGAAGAAGGAGAAGAAGAAGAGGAGGCAAATTTGGGCTGGTTCAATAATTCAGAATCACTGAGAGAGACAGACTTGAACTTGTCCAATTCCCCGGCAAGCTCTGTGTCAAGGGTCTTCTCAGAAGCCTTGAATGAGCTTTGGTGGTGGGGGTGTTATCCTGTCTTGGCAGAGTCAATAAATTATTGAACTGTATGAGAAAATATGTATTACATTGCGGAGAGTGTCCTTCTCCCTGATTCCATCCACTCAAACACATTTATTCCAGACTCTTGAAATCTTTGCAAGTCGTTTTCATAGATGCTGTTCAAGCATATGAAATGTGCATCCTGTAAATGTAGTGATTTCATTACATATCTACTTACTTTTTAACTCAACAAACCAAAAAGCTGGTCAAAATGCATGCTCATCACTACTGGTAGTAAACCTTTATTTAATCAGGTTAAAAAAAGATAACTAAATAACGTTAAAATCATTTAAAAAGAAAATATATATATCAAAAAATAGATATGTCTGATTTTAATAAAAAATAAATATTAGACAATAAATATTATAAATAAATTAAATAGTTCCTTTGAGAATGCAGCTCTAATAACAAAAGTTACTACATGTACACAATTACATTGTTTAATTTACAATTTACTGAATTTTTAATGATTCTTGCTGAAATTAAATTGGAAATATATACTGAATAAATAAATGCTTCCAATTTAATACAAATATAAATTAGAAAATAAATATTAATAAAATGTAAAAT